CGACTCTAAAATAAGAATGGAAATCAAGACTCCCTTGCAACCGGGCTGAAAACAAAATCCTGGTGACTCACAAGCTAAGTACAGCTCCTCCACTCCCTACAGGGGTTTCTGACCATAACCGACGTGCCACCAGTCCTTTGAAACTGCTTCCAAAAATGAAGGCTATTTCCTCCTTAAATAATGCGGTGCCAAGCTCTTTTTTTGTAGCACAGATGGATACCCAATAGGAACGCCAGCCAGCTTGACAGTGCCAATGGCAAAAGCCTTGCTGAGAAACAGAATAATTAAAGGGCTTCTCTCAGGCAGTCTTTTCCTGCTATTTCTGTGCTCTGCGCTTGGAAGTCACGTGCCTTCATTCATCGTCATTCTTCTGTCCCAGCCGGACTAATTTTTTCCACTCGGTTTCTTCTCATCTATGATGGGTATAGATAGAATAGCTGTCTGAAAGCAGAGGTTTATTTCTGCAGCAAAGAAAACAGCAGATGCCAGTAAGCTGAAGGCATTAAACTGAGGCTCTTGTGACAAGGTGGTTAAGATGTCAGGCTTTCTAGGCGGACCAGGCTGGGAGATGCAGGAGGAGCATCTTCGGTTTACACCCACCTTTATCACTCCCTAAAAAAGATCCAGTGTATTTGGACTGTATACGGAGGAGACCGTGGACCCAGGACCCGGACATGAAATGATGCAAACTTGTCCAGGGAAACTTGCCATGTGTGAGACTTGAGCTTTACGTTTGGTGCAGGGAACTGAGGCTAAGCAGCTGTCACATTTTATCTGAGGTGCCAAAGGGATGCCAAGAGGCCAGTGCAGGCTCTTGGTATCCAAACCTCAGCATCGAGCAGGCAGGGATGAACATGCGATTCGTAATATTTTTAGCTGCTGTGTCTTGTTTAGAAGAGGGAGTGGCTGCCTGGAGGACTTGTGCGAGTGATGTGGAAGGAGGCCGAGAGAGAATGAATTCAGGACACCCAGATGTTGCCCGAATGCTCCTCTTGGATGCCTGCAAAAGCAAACCAAAGGACCTCAATCATCTGCTGTATGTGGCCCTCACATAGCTCTGCCACTGCCTCTTGGCCCTGGTGCTAGCCCTCCTTGCATCAGTGAAGTCCTTCGGGCCTGTTGCCTTTACACCGAGCGGCCCAGAGCCCTGCACTGAGTTCTGAGAAGCCAGAAAGCAACGTCCTTTGGAAGGAGCAGCTGGCGTCTCTCCTCCTACTGCATGGAGCTCCCCATTGTCCCCCTCGGGTCTACATGCATCAAGGCCAAATAAACGCGTTAGGATCCCTGCTATTCCAACACATTGCAAATGAGCTGGTAATAAGCTGAAGCCATGTTAATGAAGAGCTCTCTTGGGCCCATTTCCTGTTCCAACCCACTCCTGTCAAGAAAGATCTTTATTAACATGGCTTCATACAGCAGATGATTGAGTAGATCATCTATCTGGAGGAAAAGGCTAAGTTAGGAAAATATTTTAAGCCTTTAACTCTTTATGACGGGGATCTTCTTTCAAAAACACCCTGTGCTTCTGAGAACGCGGCTTCATTGGGCCCATCACCAGCCTTCCTGAGTAGCCAGAGCATCAGGGCCTGCTCCTACCTTGCTGGCATCAACGGGAAGTCTCCCACTAAGTCTTCCTGCCACATGCGGATCATGACCTTGGTATTTGCAGCAGAACATTTTTGTTTCGCTGTGTTAGGTAGTGCTGACTAAACTGCCCTGAGGCTAGTTACTGGGCTTGGCTCCAGTCCAGCTTTGGAAACATCTGGTTTGGGTCCATCCTAAAGCTAGTGTAGTAATGCGTCATGCCCAGTTTGGCAGACAGTTCAGATCCTTCCCAACAGGGTTTGGGAAGAGCATGGAGGGTGGTGGTGACCTTCTGTCCTGCAAGGAAACTGAGGACCTCAACCAGAACGACTGTCTTACCCTCACTGCTGTGGTGTCAGAGCCTCATCCTAAGGGAAATAATAGATTTTACTCAAAAATTGCCCCCAACTCCCTTTTTGAGTAACAGAGACCTTGGGGCAAAGTCTTTGCTAGGGTCACTGAAGGCACTGGAGGGACCTGCGACTAGGCCATCCAAGGCACCCTTGATGAAAGACAAGATTTTGATCTGCAGTGACACCAACCTGGAGGAACACCATGGAGACTGAAGGAGTGGCACAGGCACAGCAGAAATCAGAATCTGTCCTAGTGGGTGGATGCTACATACTGCTCTTGGGCACCAGCCACCCCCGTGATGCATGCCACTTCTGAGTAACACCCAGGTATAAACAGGTGTTGGCAGTCTCTGTGGCTTGTCAAGAAGGTCTTGGAACCTGACCCAGATGTCACAAATTCACATGGTTGCAAGCATCTGGCTGGAAAATCATGCAACCAGGACAGGAGTGAAGTGAATTGTGTTACTGATACCCAAAAAGCAGAGTCCAAATCAGCAGGTAGCTCTGGGCTGTGTTAGGCACCTCCTGGCTGTGAGCCTTTCTTGCTTCCTAATGCTCTTTTCCAGACCTCAGCTCTTTCCATCATGAGAGGAGCAGGGAGCGAATCCATAACCTAAACCTTTAGCTGCAGTTGGCCAGTGTGAAACATGGCCCTTCTGAATACTGTACAGAGAAGGGATGTGGGGCCCTTGTTTCAGAGGAACTGAACTACCGCTATCAAAGTCAAGGAGAAGATTTTCATTGCCATCAGCAGAGTAGTTTTCGGTAGATGTTTAGTGGACAGCTGGCTGCACCGTGAAAAATAATACCCAGTTCTCAGAGACTGATGCTTAGAGGCTCTGCAGCAGGCCAGCAATTCCCCACATCAATGGGTCTGTGCAGAAGCCCAGGTCTGGGATACCTGGAATCACCAGGGCAGGTGAAAATTAAGTCCAATTAGCAGACTGGTTGGGCAAGTCCAGCATTGGACTTGCAAGTGATGCGCTTGGCAGTGCTGGGATCAAATAGCAGCAGGTGCTACAGATGAGGGCTGGGGTGCACTAAAAGAGTTGTGCAAAAGGACCCCAATACCATCCCTTACTTGTATCACTGCCTATAGGCAGTGATACAATATTCCTTTAATGAGTGCACACAGATAGTGGGGGTTGCTGACTGCTGTTTTTCCAGCCCGAGCTGTACTTGCCCAGCAGCAGCAAATAGGATGTAGGGACTGCCAGAGCAAAAAAGCCCCAGGATGAGAGCAATTAAAAATTACACAAGCTGAAATGGTCAATATATTATCAAGGGCTGAGTATCACATGCTGTCTTGGGGCAGCTGAGCAAGTGCGATCACAGCTTACTCTAAGCATTGCTCTCTTTCATTTGGCAAGCCTTGGAGCTTAACCACTGGCAGAGAGTGTGGCTACTTCTGAAATATCACCCAAGCACCTCTGAACTGCCAGTCTATTAACCACCATCAGAAATAAATGTGGGAGCATATCATTGCTCCATCACAAGTCTATATCCACAGACACTTTTGATGAATGTCAGCCCACCTCTACTTTGGCTTATCGGTTTTTAAGTCTTTGTGCTTGGAGTAACTGGAGTCCAGGGATGAATGAGAAGAGAGCTGCTTGGTTTATGAGAGTGAATACAGCTCGTGTGTTAACAGGCTAAGATGTAGCTCTTTCAAGAAGATCACAATGCAGATCTGTCTTCACACTCTCCACCCACCACCTCTGTAGCAAGGTGGCCAAGGCGAGGTAGGTGAGACTTCCCTAACAGAAATCAAGATACTCCCCCTAGCAAAACAAGCCTTTTTAAAAAATTTAAACTGGCATCTTGGCTGTAACTTGCAAAATCGTGCAATTCCACATGGCTTCAGAAGCATTTTGGTAGCAAAGCATGAGAAAGAGGCATGGAAAAAGGCGCCTCCAGAGCTTGAAAGTATCCACAGCCCTTCTAGGAAATCCTAAAGATCGCCGCACCCCAGCACCCACTCTCCCATTCATTAATAAACCCAAAGATGGGTCATAATCATGTGAATACCTGGTGCAAGCCAATGAAACCTCTTCTGTGACTCTGCGTGCGTCAGAGATCCCTTCCTCATCCTTGAAAGGCCAATGTTAATTATCTGACATGAATCAGTGGTCCTGAAATTGAATCAAAGCTTTTGGCCTTCATAATGGCTGAAGGTCTGCAAAGCAGATACCAGTGCCACTTCCACTGCTAGTGTCATCAGGACCAGGGATCCAGATCCAGCTCCTTCCAACCACTCTTGGTGGACCACAGGAAAAGCTAACAAAACCACTGACTTCCTAGTAGTTCACTGGTGCAGGGAGCAGAGAAAGCATCCAGAAATATAAGTTAATTGAGTCAGCTCTTTATCTCTGTTGCTGATTTGCAGATAGCACCAGTATGTCTATCACAGGATGGGGTCCCCATGTTGCCCTTAAGACCCCACAATGTCCATCACAGGATGGCCATGTTACCCCTAAGACCCCTTGACTGCCAGATCAGCCTGATGGGCACCCTCTATTCTCACCCACCACATCTTGATGGACTCATAATATAGGAAGGCTGCCTTTAAGCCTACTTGGGCACAGTCCTGATGGACTTCCCTGAACCCCATGGGTCTCATTTCAAAATACATGTCCCTGGGACAACCCAGTCTTATGGGCTATATGCGTGGCTCCAACTGCCCCTTTACTACACCCCAAGCCTCACAGATGGCATCAACATTGTCCAGTCTAGGCCTTGCTGTAATTTGGCCCCCTTATGTCTGTGCTTCACTGGCGACTGGGCTCTCCAGCACCAGGGTCTGTACCCCCCCCAAAAAATGCTGCACCCTCTCCAGCACCGGGGTCTGTGCCCCCCCCAAAATGCTGCACCCTCTCCAGCACCAGGGTCTCCACACTGCAATGGGTCCCCAACAAGGCCTCCTTACCCAAACCACCAGTCTTATTAAACAACAGCCAAACATAAGCCCCTGAGCTATATCATTACACAAACTGCAGAAAGTGCGCTCTGCCCCCTTTGCATTACTAGGAGCAACACTTAGTCAGACCTCTTCCCTTCACTTACTCTAGGAAGGCTCCTTCCCCCTTGGACACCAGCAAACAACTGAGCTCTCTAGTCCCCGTCCTGGGGTTTATATGGGCCCAGGGCCCTGCCCCTCTGGCCAGCTGACCAGGTGCAGGTGCAGGCTAATTGCCTCATTAGCTAGTTGCCACGGCAACCTGCACCTGGGCTCCTGGCTGGCTCTTTGGGCTCTCCCCAGCCAGTTTCTGCTCTTCTAGGAGCAGGCACATAAGTGCCCTGCCACAATGTCTTTTTGTGGAACAGCAGGCCAGTCCAACTTCACCACGGTCCTTTGTGGTGCTATACAGTATTGTCTTTCTATGTGTTTGTACCTCCCCTTGCACATTGGGCCTCTGATCTGATTGGGATACTTCCACAGTGCAAGCTGAGGATGACGATGGACAAATGCGGCGAAGGATAGGAAAGAAGAACCCATTCTTTCCTGATGTATCAGAGTGCCTTGTAACTCAGTGGGACCTCATGGAGACAGAAGCAGCTATTAATTAGCATTAGTCACAACTTGCCTGTGACTTGTCTGTGTTGACAGGATGAAGTGGCAGGTGTGAAACTGTGGGAAGGCGCATGTCTATTGGTTGGATGAGAGAGCAGGGAGGCAGGACTGATGAGGCTGTCACTAACTCATGTAACTTTGGTGACATAAGCCAGCTCTGAGTCTTGACTTCCCCATCAGTGAGAGGATAGGCATGTGCTTTACAGGGGTGTTGTGAGACTTAAGTGATTAATTCATGTTTGCAAAGCTCTCGGAGATCTCAAGTGACAGGTACTATAGGGAAGCAACGTTGTATATTGTAATCGGTGTTATATTAATAAGCCTTAGCATTAAGCAGTATAATAACACTAAACAGCTTAGGCAGGAAGGGATCAACATAGGAAAGCAAGTTGGCTGTGTTTTACATCATGGTAGAAAAATAACCCTAGCTTGGCTTGACATTCCCCTGCTTAACTGAGAGTCTTGGACATGTGCACACACACCACAATACTGTGGAAAGTGAAGAATGGAAGAAATCTGACACTGAACGGGATAAAACAAGTAGCAAAGCCATATTATAAATGTTAGGTTACTGCTGGGACCAGCCAGGGGAAGAAATCAGAACCCCTGCAAAATGTTGCTGGAAATGTCTTGCAACTTAATCTTTTCCATCTGAGGCTGTTGCAGCATCTCGTGAACAATACGTTATTATAGACCCTGGGAGGTGTAGTTATCATTATTCCCCACTTTTCCAAATAGAGAAACTGAGGCTTGGAGCGACAGAGAGAGGCCCAGATTTCTACCCGGGGGCATGCAGATGTGAGCACAACTGCAGGCCTCACTTAAAGGTGCAATTGCCTAAGCAATGGTCAACTGAAGGGCCTCTCCATTGCTCACATTAGGTGTGCAGTTTTGCCCCTATGCCCCCTGGAAATCTGCCTCCCAGTCTCACACTTTCAAAACCAAGCCCTGCTTTCTGGGTGTTCCTCTTTTGTGTACCCCACTTTGCCACTTCCAAGCCTGTTGCTCAGGCCAGGGCCTGATTCTGCATTGAACTGAATTTCAGTCCATGACCACTGACTCGCAGGCTGGCTGTGACCTTATTGCCGCTCTCTTAAAAGCTGTCTGCACTGCCGTGCATGAACTTCCCCCAGCTTGCGCTGATGGAAAGCAATGTCCCTGGAGCCCTGAATGGTACCCCACGTGCAGCCCAGCTGTTCCCAGGCTGGACTCTCACAGGCTTGTTGAGTCTCAAGTATCTCCGCCCTTGAGAAACTGTACGTGAAATCAGTCTGTGTTCCCAGCAACCCTAGCATCGGGAGCCATGATTTTGTACCTCATGCTGTACATGATCGGCATGCTGAGTAGGAAGGGAGCTACTTTGCAATTCCTGGAAACCCACCTCATGTCAGTAATAGCTGTGTGTGCACAACCCACTTGCAGCAGCAGGCAACAGGAGCCCTGGGGCTAGCGGGAGAATTGGGCATTCTCTTGCCGTGACAACACCCCCACAAGAAGTATTTTTGGTGGCTAGGAAAAGCAAAAACTGGAGGGTACGGGGATCTAACTGGTTTGCCTGGGCAGAGACAAAGGTTATTACATTATCCAAACAATCCACATCTCTGCCTACAGTGATTTAAAGTTTGCTCTTGGATCACAGTAGAGATTTGAGAGATCTGCGGAACGGCATAGCCCAGGGGTGCCAAAATTACGGCCATGGGCTGGATCTAGCCAAGAGAGCCCTGCCATCTGGCCCCTGTTGCTGTCCCTGGGTCTGATCAGACCCACACAGTGTATAGCACATGCCCGTGGCATGGGGCCAGTCCTCAGGCTTGTTAACACACCACATGCAGTGTGGGTCCCAGACTGGCCAGAGCAGCCAGGCTAGATCAGGGGAAGGGGAGAGTAAAGGGAAAGGGGAAGAGGTCCGTGTGCCCAATCCAGCATGCAGACTAGCCCAGCGTCACCCATCGAGCCCACGCATCCAACTGGCAAGCATCATAGCCCAGCCCCTGGCACAGATCTTTGAGAGCTCCTGGCGCTCTGGTGTAGTGCCCAAAGACTGGAAGAAGGCCAATGTGGTGCCTATCTTCAAGAAAGGGAGGAAAGTGGATCCGGCAAACTACAGGTCCATCATCCTGACCTCTATCCCGGGGAAGGTCCTAGAAAAAATTATCAAAGAGACCATTCTTAACAGACTGGCCGATGGCAACATCCTGAGGGATAGCCAGCACGGGTTTGTCGCGGGTAGGTCTTGCTTGACCAATCTCATTTCCTTCTACGACCAGGTGAGCTATCACCTGGACAAGGGAGAGGAGATTGAGGTAATATATCTTGACTTTAAAAAAGCCTCCCATCTGGTATCCCATGATCAACTCTTAGCAAAACTGGCCAACTGCAGCCTCGGCTTCACCATGATCCGCTGGCTGGGGAATTGGCTCCATGGTGGGACCCAGAGGGTGGTGGTTGGCAGAAGTCAATTGTCGTGGTGCCCTGTGACCAGTGGGATCCCTCAAGGCTCTGTCCTTGGACCCATATTGTTCAACATCTTCATCAATGATGTAGACATTGGTATCAGAAGTGGACTGGCCAAATTTGCCGACAACACCAAACTTTGGGGTAAAGCATCCACACCTGAGGACCGAAGGGTGATCCAGGCTGACCTGGACAGGCTCAGAAAATGGGCGGACGAGAACCTGATGGTGTTCAACACCGAAAAATGCAAGGTTCTCCACCTCGGGAGGAAAAACCTGCAGCATCCCTATAGGCTCGGCAGTGCTACGCTGGCTAGCACCACAGATGAATGGGACTTGGGGGACATGATTGACCACAAGATGAACATGAGCCTTCAATGTGATGCTGTGGCTAGTAAAGCGAGCAAAATGCTGGCTTGTATCCATAGGTGCTTCTCAAACAAATCCCGGGATGTCATTCTCCCCTTGTACTCAGCCTTGGTGAGGCCACAGCTGGAGACTGCATCCAGTTTTGGGCTCCATAATTCAAAAAGGATGTGGAGAAGCTTGAGAGAGTCCAGAGGAGAGCCACGTGCATGATCAGAGGTCAGGAAAACAGACCTTATGAAAAGAGGCTGAGAGACATGGGACTCTTCAGCCTGGAAAAGCTCAGGCTCAGGGGTGATGTGATGGCCACCTATAAGTTCATCGGGGTGACCACCAGGATCTGGGGGAACATCTGCTCACCAGAGCGCCCCAAGGGATGACAAGGTTGAACGGTCACAAACTCCTCCAGGACTGGACATAAGGAAGAACTTCTTTACTGTCCAAGCCCCCAAGGTCTGGAATAGCCTGCCGCCGGAGGTGGTTCAAGCACCTAGTTTAAACATCTTCAAAACACATTTGGATGTTTATCTTGCTGGGATCCTATGACCCCAGCTGAATTCCTGCCCCTGGGGCAAAAGGCTGGACTCGAAGATCTTCTGAGGTCCCTTCCAGCCCGAATGTCTATGAAATCTATTAAATTTGACACCCCTGGTATAGCCTTTGCCCAAAGAAGAGCCCAGACACCATGCCATGTTGTGGTGGCTGAATTAAATTTATAGTGCCCATATAAAATCCTCTGGCTTTGCTCCTTGAATCCAAAGGGGATGAGCTTAAAGAGTAGGGCCTGGGAGTTGTGACGCCTGGTTTCCATTCCAGGTGGTCACAGGTCCTTTGAGTGGCCTTAGGGAAGCCACTTACCACTATTTCTGATCTGCACCCTACCCATTTAAAACAGTGAGAAATGAATCCCTCCTCACAGCACAAGGTGCTAGGGGGGTTATTCTGAGTGCTTTAGATAACAGTGCTCTGTAAACCAGGAGCTGCGGGCACACTTCTTTAGGAAGCTTGCCTTCTCACTGGAATGAACCTGGGCTCTTCTGGCAGGCAGCATGGTGGTGGACCGATCCCCCTTCCATCACTAGGTCAAGCCAGAAGAGGCTGTTCAGCCATGACACGGTCCCTCCCTCACCCAGAAGGACCAGCCGCTCGACAAGAAGCTGCCACACTCCCTTTCAGAGGAGCAAATACTTTCTCCTGCATTAAAAAAAATATAGCACAGGTGTTTCTCAGAGCTGGCTCTTGCCCTCCAGTATCCCCCTGTGCAGATGCTAGTGGGCACTGTGCTGCTGGCGGTGCAACTGCCTGTGGTTGCAGAAAGTCCTACGAGGCCATTTATAAAAGGAGAAGGGTGCTGAGTTCACTTCCTTGGTAAAATTCCAGCGTGGGGAATCCCGGCACCGACGCTACCTCATTTCCTGTTATCAGCTGTTACCCTAACACGATGACATGGGAACAGAAGGTAGCTAAAAATAAAGAACCTGAGAACTGCAGACAGTGGATGCAGGGGAAAGCTTTAATGGAGCAACTATCAGCCTCCTTAAATAAGCATCTCAAAGCCCCCTCCCCACCCCATATTCACTGCCCCTCTTCCCTTTTTTAAGTTTACTTTGCATCTCCCTATCATGTGAGCAGAAACCATGGCAACAGCTCCATGGTGACAGTATCCATGACAACCAGCGCCAGTAATTGCTGTGGCTTCCAGTTCAGGCAGCTGCATCTTGATTTGTGTGGCTTTTTGCATTGCCTGCTGGAAATAGCATGGGACCAGTTGCATGAGGCTGTGTATTTTAGAGGCAGTAAGGGGCTAAGTAGAAGCTGTGGAAAGGGGCAGGGGGTTAGCAATCAAGGGGCTCACCGAGTAATGAAAATGTAGAGGAATTAAAATGCTGCCTGAATCTCTTACCTACAGGGGCCAAGGAAAGCTTTGACTGTCTACCTTCTCAAGGCTGCAGCTGCAATGAGTTTGCTGTCCTCATGCACTAGGTGAGAAAGGCACCACGCCACAAAGTGGACAGCTACCTCTGCCAAGCAGCAGGGCAGATCTTGTCTCTGAGGCCTGGACCGCTTGGCTGATGCTCAGTGCCCCAGGCTCAGTGCTGAACCAGCGCTGCCCAGAGAGCCGGGGAAGGAGCTTCCCCTAGGTGCTACTCCTGAAGCTAATGCTTTGCACTTCGGTGACCGCCTCTTTCTGGAAGAAGCAAAAGCTGTTCGGAAACATGAACGAGGCCTCCCCTAGCTATCATAATGCACGCAGAAGACAAGCGACTTTCTCAGCACCAGCTGGCAGAGCCATGAGCAGAACGGGAGTGTCCCTGACCCCTGCCGCATGCTGTGGACCCTGGAACCACATCTGCTGCCACTGGATGATAAAACACCAGCCCAATGTGGCAGCACGAGGTCAACAGACCCCAGAGCCTGCAGGAGGGGCTCCTGGGGAGCCTGCCCGCACAGCCAACACAGATGCTCTCTCAGGCCCATCCCTAATTCATCCCTCGCACGCAGCAGGAGCTGGTTATAGATACCAAGAGCTCACGGCCCCTAATTACACACAGAAGAGCTGGGGGGCTGGAGGCAGAGTGTTAATTTGGAATTAAGTTGCACCTGAGGCTTTTGCTGCTTCCCCTGTGGAGAGTCAGGGTCGGGGAGGGCTGTTGCCATCTGCTTCTCATTTGCTTTCTTCCTACGAGCTCTCTAAGCCACGAATGACCTGTGTGTAGGCCAAGCACAGTCCTACTGCGCCACCCGTTAGCAATCAGCAGAGCCCCTGTTGCATAATGACCATTTATAATCAAGCCAGGGCTCTCCTGCCAGCCGCAGCCCCTGTGTGTACTGTGCCTCTTTAAAGGAACAGCTCTTACAGCAAGTCTCATCACTCCAATGTTTGCTTCATTGGCTCTTTCAACACCATAGGAAAACCCAGTCCTTTGAAGTGAAATCTCTATGGCCCTTGGGATCTATTGCTCCTCTCACATCAGGATACACTGACAAATTCCAAAGGAATCAGTGGAGTTAGACCCAATCAAAAGAAGAAAATCATCTCCTCTGCTAAGCCTTTGCTAATGGGACCACTTAAAACCTGCTCTGGAGATGGTTTGACACCAGCTGCCCATCAGGAGCTGGACGAAGGCCCACTACACTCATTCCCATTTGGCTACCTGTGCTGATCGGAGAGCAGGCAACCAGGAAGGAAGGGTGCAGTTTCCAAAAATGCCCTCCCCCTGTCTTTCTAACTAAAGTTATGAATTTTGGAAAATGTCAACCATTTTTCACGGCATGGGAAAATGCTGGTGAAAAGGTATTGGGACAGTAGCTCAGTCCCAGACTGTGTGAGCCAAGGCAGTGATTAAATAAATCCAGTGTCTCTGACTGTTAATTCTACTTCATAGCAGCTCTGAGGCTGGAGGTTTGCATTTTACACTGCTCAAGGGCCTGGCCTTGCTCTTCTCCCAGCAGTGACACTCCCACTGCGTTCAAACTAGTTGGAAATAAGACCATGAAAACTCCACCCTTGACTTCCTA